TATTAATTTGATTTCAAACCAAAAATCGCAACAAAACTATTATTTGCACTGAAAGGCAAATAATGTTTGCAAACAAATAACAGACAATATTATGCAACAGAGATAGAGAGTGAACATCAAAATTATGCCCTATTTTTTATTAGACATACTATTTATAGATTTGAAATGTATTTGGTTTTTATAGAAAATATATATTGATATTCAGCATCACATCACCCTTTGGCTCATTTATAAAACTGTATTTCCCTTTCAAACGCGAAATCCCTTCAAAATTTTATAATAAATACTGATTTGCATTCAAATCTCATCTTTGAGCTGAAAATTGTATTCAAAAAATTTCTTTTGATAATCATATAGAAGTCCAACCGATGATAACGATTTACTTTTGCTATAAAACTCATTGTTTGGTATCATTGCGAAACACCGTATGCCTATCGTATACCACATAACACTGATGCTATCAAATGCTATTTAATTAATAAATTATAAAAATGATAATTCGCTAAAATGTAAGACTATTAAATTGTAAGCAAAAATGAGTGGTAAAACTCATAAACCAATTACTAGTTGCCCGAAGAAAATGAAAGTATAGTATGTCTGAAAGCATATGAACAATCAATACAGTATTCAATGAGCAATGCATTGAACACAATGTGTGTTGAGTTGATTGAAGCGAATCAACATTTTTTCGTGAGTAGAAAACGGTTACAATTCCTGAGAATTCGTGCCATTTATACACACAATATCTATAGTGCAGTACATTCTGTATATCATATACAGTATAACAGTTATATAGAGTACATACCTATGAGGGGCTTTCGTTTGGGTAATATAGTTATGGCTCCGCCCGCAGACTCTTCTTGACCTTTCGGAGAGACAAACAATACATACATTACATACAGAAACGATGGGATATTATATTAATGGTAGAAATATAGTATGCATTCGTGGTATCAATTGATTAGTGAAGTGGCGAACCTTTGACGGGATGTATCTTTCGACCCCAGGAGTCACTGCCCAGCCATAGAAAATAGCCAGCTTTTCCCATCTCGCGGGAAGCGCTCAACAGTCGACGACAATTATCTTCGTCCACAAACATCACCACAACTCTGGCGTTGGCTTTGCTCGACAGCTGTTCAATAATCCTCAAGAAGTCCGAATGCTTGGCATTCCTCAAGATCTTTGCCGATTCTGCGATACAAATGTCCGCTTTATTGGCCAGAATCTTGAAGTGTTCGATCCCTTTCTCGCCGTAATCGCCCTCCGATGCGATGGTCGACACATACGTCCAGTTGAATAGCTTTATGATGTCGACCATTGCCTGCGCCTGAAAGTTGTCCGGCGGTACCGTTCGGCTAAAGTACCCAAACCGGCTCTTATCCGACAGGTCTACACTCGTCGACGCGTATGATATTTGCGGGATCTGTTAGGACACGAGAAAGAGAGAGAGAGAGAGAGAGAGAGAGAGAGAAAGAGTCAAATTTTTAATTTATTGCAAAACACTTTAGTATATAAGATAGAGATTTATGTATTTTATAGTTTTCATGTTTTTGATGTTTTTGCTCAAAATATTAAATTACTAGTAAATGCATGCAATGACTGAATATAATATTATTAAATAAACAATTGGATGGACTTTTTTGCACATTAAATATAAATTTCATATTTATTTTTCACAGACATTGGCGTAATATATGATGTGATCTAATAAAATATATTGAAAATGCTATGAATATAACGCTATAGAGTCTGTAGTATAGACTTATTATAAGAAAATAAAATTCAATTCATATTTGAAATTTGAAAACAATTTTTTATATAAAAATTCCTAACAAATCGTTTATTGTATATAAAAATTAGGCTTATTTTTGTGTTTTTTATTTCTTCTACAATTGATTGAACATAATATGGATTTTATAATAAAATGTGTAAATAAAACAGATATTTTTGAGAAATATTCTAATAAAAAAATTAAATCAGTGACAAATAACTAAATTCATTACAATTAGAAATGTTGACAAAAACTAACCATGTTATTTCTAAATAAAATCGAAAACAATTTCAGCATTTGTTTTAATATAAAGTACACAATATTGGTGTTGAAGTATATAATTCTGGGAGTTTTCAGTAGAATTTCAAGTTTTTCTGCCAATATTTGTCTATCGTATGTGTTATAGTGTACGGTATAGTACACTAACAATACACTGCACTGTAATGAATAGTAAATATAACAGTATAGAAATAAATAGCGTTTTCAAAGAAATCTAGGCAAATGATCTTCTTATCAAACGATTGAATCGTTTCTCTTTGCCTTCGAGTCATTCAAATGTCTATTGAAATGACAATATTCTTAAGAATCTCTTTTTCCAATTAATGGAAATTCAAATCATTAGATATTAAATATTGATTATTTCGTATTCTATAGATTGTTGTCGTATTAGAGATTCAATGAGAGTTAAACACGAGAGGGACAGCGGGAGAGAAAAAAATTAAAATCATAAATGTCATATTTTGAAATTACTGACAAAAACAAACAAGAGATTTAATTATTATTTATAACAAAAATATTTTCCACCTAAAAGTATTGAATTTCTTGGAGAGAGAGAGAGAGAGAGAGAGTTATACGTTGACTGCTATCCTAAGGCTATGATTTAGAAAACAATTCAACGAAAACCACTATTGTTTCCAAAATTGTTTTGGGTTTTAGTTTAACAACAAATAAAACATAATAAAAAAGAAACTAAGAATTCTTTAAGAAAGAAATGAAAGAGAGCTTTAAATTTATGGCTTAGTTATCAATAGGAATGGTCTCTTAGAAGTGGCCAAAAGACAATTCACTTCTTTGTTTTGTATGAATGGTTGGACTCAATGGTCGCGAATCACTAAATCAGATAATCCATCGATTTTTATGTTTCATTCAAAACCAAATTTCTGCTCTCATAGCCATTGACTCTCACTTTATTCACATTATGTGCCATACATTTCAATCACTATCATGTCTCACAAGATCTCTCTCTCTCTCTCTCTCTCTCTCTCTCTCTAAAAAATACGATACTTTTAAGTATAAAATATTTTTATTATAAATAATAATTAAATTTTTTGTTTGTTTTTGTCAGTAATTAAAAAATATGACATTTATGATTTAAATTTTAATCTAATTATTTATACATTATTAGCGCTGTATTTATTGTGTTAAAAAGTAATGCATATAACAAACTAAAGCCGTCTCCTAAACTAAAGTTTCTATACCATATGCAATATTATGTGTTTTTATATATTTTACGGAATTTTGAAAATTTTCATTAAAATCTATTTAATTAAAAACAAATATTTCAAACCCTTATAACAAATACCACTTAAACTAAGCTTTAAAAAGATTTCTACTTGCAAATTAACGGGTTTTAAAATATTTATATTAAATAAATAATATTTATACTTATTTAATAAATTAGCCTTAATTTTAATTGCCTCAAGAATATAATATTTCTGTAGATAAATATGTCTATAAAATTGTATTTAAAAACATAGTGTATATGATATATAAATGTACTGTTATATAAACTATACATTAAATAAAGTAATAATAAATGAGTTTAAGTGAAAAGTTTAAAGAACTATATATTAGATAATATTTATAAGAAATAAAACAAGAGATCAGCGAAAATGAGGAAACGCTTTAAAACAATGAGATGTAAAATCAGTTTGTTTTACGACAAATGTTAAACTATAAAAATTTTAATATTATTTTCTATGTTTTTTGTGCAATCGTTTGCTCTATGAATGAGACGTGAATTTTTTGCGTAAAAATATAAATTGTTTTTCACGGCATTTGCAATGTCTCTATACATTAGACAATGGCCTCAAACAATGCCTAAAAAACTTTTAATCATTTGTTTCATGTGTTAAGTGAAAACTTGTCGTTTATGTAATACAAAGAAAAACTCTTTTCATATTAAATTCAAATATAAACAGGAATTTTAAATTAGTTTTTTATTAATTTTTTGTTTAAACATAACGGTGAGAGAGAGAGAGAGAGAGAGAGAGAGAGAGAGAGAGAGAGAGACCTTTAAAAGCAAAGGTTAGAGGATTTGAATGCATAATATTTTTGCTTTGTTTGCGGGCAAAGTATTAGAAAATTTTATTGCAATGTCTTATTCACTGGTAATAGTATTGGCGATGCATTTGTGATCACATTTCCCAATAGATTAGTGATGAATATAAAAATACAATACTTGTAGTGAAATGGTTACAAATCACGGAATATTTCGCTATATTTATAACAATTTGCCAATAATTCTGTGCTTCTGTTCAAACAATTCTTGTAATTCTGTGCCTAAGAATTGAGAGTAAACTCAATGTATAAACAATAATTCAAATGAAAACAGCAGACAATATATTTATTATTTGCTGTTTACTAAATAGATATTATATAACAGTAAATAATATTGTTATTTTGTTTTCAAAGTTACAATATAACAATATAATTGGGATTGAAATCCAGATTGAATGCAAAATATTTCCAATACTTTTGTATGAAATGAATGTAAAATAATCGATATTCTGACAAAGCTTTAAGAATCACTTAATGAACAAATTTGTATTGTTTTTATTAATAATAATAAGTATTATTCGATAATTATATTGATTACTGATTAATCTATATCTTAAGATAAACACATTTCTTCCATAGTATAACACTTATAAGTTATTAATCAAAACAATGGTTTCCTTATTGTCATAAGAATTAATTAAAACTTTTGTGACTTTTCTTTTGTCAACACTTGAATTAAGGACTTATTTATTAAACAAGTGTTGAAACTATTCTTATGGCTATCAGTGATAAGTTGTCATATAATAAAATGTTGCAAATGTTTGATAATATAAGTCTGAATAATATCTGAATTGAAAAATTTCCATTTTATATGATTTGAACCCATTTTTATTGAATTTTTCTCATATTATATGTGTTTATCGCAAATCGAGAAAATAGGAAAATAAATTAAAGGTATGTCTCGAATATATTGAATATTTATTAGAAAATATGACACATATTAAGAAAAGTGTTTTTCAAAAATGTCTGTTTAAGATATCTATACAAAAAGCACACAAACTATTAAAACGTTTGGAAAAATATTATATACTTAAATATGAGGTGAATGTAAAAATCAATTCACTTTTTATTCCTTGAGAGAGAGAGAGAGAGAGAGAGAGAGAGAGAGAGAGAGAGAGAGAGAGA